TTACTCTCCTTTCTCTCTCTATTTTCCTTTCTTTATCTGTCTCTCTCTCTCTCTGTCTCTCTGTCTCTGTCTGTCTGTCTGTCTGTCTCTCTCTCTCTCTCTCTCTCTCTCTCTCTCTCTCTCTCTCTCTCTCACTCACTCCTTCTCCCTCCTTTGCTCCCTCCCTCTCTCTTTCTCTTTTTCTCTCTCTCCCTCCCTTCTTCTCTCCCTCTCTCTTTCTCTTTTTTCTCGCTCTCCCTTCCTCTCTCTCTCTCCCCTTCTCTCTCTCTCTCTCTCTCTCTCTCTCTCTCTCTCTCTCTCTCTCTCTTTCTCTCCCTTCCTATCTCTCTCCCTCTCTCGTCTCTCTCACATTCTTTCTCCCTCTCTCCCATCCTCCCTTCCCCCCTCCCCTCTCTCTCTTTCCCTAATACGCATCTCTCTTGCCCCTCCCTCCCCTCCCTCCCCCACCCCTAAGCCCTTACCTTCTCCACCCTCTCCGGCTCTGCTCCGAGCTGCTCGCCGATCCTGACGTGGTCTAGGCGGCCGAGGCGGTGCGACCCCTTAAGGACTTGTAGGCAGCCGTTTTCCTTCGTGCAGTCGTCGATCGGGATAAACACGGAGCCCATGTCCGGATAGAGGCAGCCGTTCCTGTACCAGTATCTGGAAATGCGAGGGGAGGGAGGGGAAAGGGGAAGGGGGGGGGGGGAGGGAAAGGGTTTTAGTGTGTGTTTGGAAACGCGTGGAAAAAGGGCCTTGAGTGTATGTGGATGTGTGGGGGGATATGGGTTTAATTTGGAAACGCGAGGGGGAAAAAATGGGGGCCTATGTGTATTTGGCAACGGGTTTAGGATGCTTCCGTTTTCTCATTAGGTTGCGACTATTGTACGGAAAAAATAAGGATAAGAATGAAAAAAAAACAAGCCCTTCACCCTTACCCTTCCCTTCCCTCCTCCTTATTCTTCTCTCTCCACTTCCTCCTCTTCCCTCCCTCTCCCTCCCACCCTCTTCATCCCCTCCCACCATCTCCTTCTCCCCTACATCCCCTTCCCTCCCTCCCTCCCCTCCCCTCCCACCCTCTCCCTCCCCTACACCCCCTTCCCTTCCCTCCCTCCCTCCCTTCCTCCTCTCACCCTGTCCTTAAAATACGTACCCATAGTCTTGGTGCCAAACGTGCCTTCCTCCCGTACGTGCGTCCTTCATGATGAGTTTGCTGTGGTAGTGGTAAACCTCCTGGCCGCCCATCACCTGGCAAAGGGCGGGAAAGTTTTACAAAGAGGTTTCCGAAGCGACACAGGGTTTTTGTTTGAGACATTCGTATGCTTGGGAAGACTCGTAGGAAGTGTGAAGTGTGGGAACATGGTTGTTGGAGCTTTGTTTGTGTGTGTGTGTGCGTGTGTGTTTAAGAGAGTAAGAGAGTAAAGGAGTAAGAGAGTAAGATAGATAGATAGATAGATAGAGAGAGAGAGAAAGAGAGAGAGAGAGAGAGAGAGAGAGAGAGAGAGAGAGAGAGAGAGAGAGAGAGAGAGAGAGAGAGAGAGAGAGAGATAAATAGATAGATAGATTGATAGATAAATAGATAGATAGATAGATAGATAGATAGATAGATAGAGACAGACAGAGACAGAAACAGAGACAGAGACAAAGACAAAGACAAAGACAAAAACAAAGACAGAGTAAAAGAGTGAGAGAAAGAGACTAACAAACAGAGAGAGAGAGAACCTCCCTTCCCCCTCCCCCTTACCCCCCCTCAAAAAAAAAAAATACACGCACTTGAACCCACCCAGAAAGTACACCCGTAACATAAACAACACCATAAGGGAAATGGCGTCCCACTGACACAAGTTCCACATGTAAATTGGGCCAAATGAGCCTTAATTAAACACTAGATGCTGTCGGGCGAATTTCTTAGATAAGCTCGAAGGGATCCCTAAGGAAACATGGCGTCCTTTTGCATAATTATTATTTTTTTAAATCATTGTTGTTAATGTTGTTGCTGTTGCTATTATTGGTATTGTCGTCAATATGATTATTGTTGTCATTAGTATTATCACTGTTATCGTTATTATTATTGTTTTTGTTGTTGTTGTAGTTGTTGCTATTATTACTATTATTATTATTATTATTATCCCTATGATGATGATAATAATAATGATAATAATAATAATAACATTATGAATGATAGGACCAAGCACAACAACAGTATCAATATCAACAATACGGCCATAAAAACAACACAACAACACGACAAATATAGGCCTATGTATCATTCATCAAAATACAGACTCTAGTGAAAAAACACAACCGAAAAAAACGGTTTTCTAAATTTGCTCTAAATAAACTTAAGAAAGAAAAAGTTAAATATCCTCTATTCCATCAATATTTTTCCATGGCTCCTAAAAATCTCTTAGAGGGAGAGAATTAAAACCCCAGGTGGATAAAATCTGAATTATTTGATATGGACAAACCGATCTTATCAAGTTGAAAAAAAGTCTATTCTTTCTCTACGTCTTTTAATATATAT